CTGGTAATACATGTGAAAGTAGTTTTTCTGGGTTTTTTTTTCTTTTAATATTTTCAGACCATGGATAAGTGAAGCTGTGGATACTGATCCCAAGGATACAGGTGTCCTACTTTAAGCCTAGGGATAATAATTTACAATTACTATGAAAAAGCAATATTAGTCACAAAATTAATTAAAGAAAAATACTTAGTTACAGAGAGACTTTTGTGGTCCCAAGCATCAGGTACAATTCTGAATCTTACGCAATTCTTCTCATGTTGTCTTAATACTAGAAAAACTATAGCTGACAGCTCTGTCTTTTCAGTCCAGACATCAGAGGCATTGCATATCTATATCTAGGTCACTCTTCTCCCATTTTCTGCCCTCTATATGTGTCTAACTACAGTTCTTGTTATCACAACCCATCTACCAGAATGGCCTGCAAACTCTGAAATGATGGGAGCTGGAGTCCATAATACCTGTTAGGCTGCAGTTGCCCATCATTCACATAACAGCTCACACATCCACCTTTGCTAATGTTTACCGGCAACTGACATACAGAGATATGTTGCTTCTGGTATTTATATCCATACAAATTAGTAGCTATAGAAGATGTTAACCTCCATCAACTTATCTAAGCACTTTGGAAGCCTTCCATGTTGACAGATATTATATCTTGTGACAATTTTAGGAGAGATAGCAGTATTAGCCTGTGCTGGAATATCAGGCGAAAACAAAATTAAGAAGACAAATACATTGGGGCACCTTAAGAACTGCTATATTTTAATGTGTGCTTTCACTGTTTGAGGAAGTGAACTTGTCCACAAAAGCTCATATTAAAATATAGCAATTAGACTTTAAGGTACCACAATATTCTTGTGACAGTAGATTTCACAATTCAGGCAGGCACTGTGTGCAGAATGACTTCCTTTTGTCTGACCTGGAATCTTCTACCTTTTGGCTTCAGAGGGTGAACCTGGGCTCCAATATTATGAGAGAGGTGGGAAAAGACTTTACTCAACCCTACTTTCTCTGTAATGCATCATGTGTAACATCACATTAAACAATAGCTATAGTGAAACTGAGAGGGGTTTTACGGATGAGGCAGTGCCTTTTCCTATGCCCCAGCAGAGAGTAATCCAATTCAGTAAACAGACAGACAATTGTATTGAGAGCAGTAAAATAAAGAATTTGTATTGTAACAATATTGTAGCAGTAGCAATGCATACAGAATACTCCTTTCTTCAGTCCTTTGGTCATACACGTAACAGCAACCAATGTCAATCCATTTACCATAACATAAATTAGTCCTTGGTAAATTCTGCTTTGTAAATCAATCCTGCAGAGTAACTGCTCCTTCTCTCCATTCAACCCACCCCCACGAAACAGTGTTCTGAGGCTGTCAGCTTTACTGCCCCTTGTGGCCAATTGGAGATTACCTTCTGTAGGCTTCTTCTTTACCATTTTGTTTCCACAGCTGTATAATATCTGACTGGTAGCTTGTTGCTAGCACAGCTGTAGTCTTTTGTCAACTCTTTCTACAGAACTTTCTTACAAACATTGATCAACAATTCTTACAGGTTTTTTCAAGACCTGACAGAAACATAATGTTTTTGTTTTAAGTCTTAAGTGGCAGAACTGAAACTTCTGAGTTTCTCTGTTGAAAAATAGACACTAGCAGATTGTGGAGATCTGAAATGATTCACTGTCATGTGATTCAGTAGGTCAATAAATATTCTTCTGCCCCCAATCCCTATGGAAGGACAGCCCTTAATTTGACCATTCCCCTTCTATTCCCTATCTGTGCTTCATATGCCTTATACTTAGGAACAGCAAAAGAAGTATTTTATGACCATAATTTTTTAAAAATGAAAACAAAACAGTGATACTTTTGGTGGATATGAACTATACATGCATCCCCAGCATAAACTGCTATCTTGTGAGGTGTGGCCCATACACACTGCCATCATCCTAAAGCACCTTATTCTTTTAAACTCAGAAATTGTATTGAGAGATGTATCTCATCAGAGTGAAAGGGAAAGAAGAGAGAATCGAGCAAATTTGTTTTATATTTTTATTTATTAATTTTTTATCCAGCACATCTAGTTGCTGGGCCACTACTCTAGGCACCTAACATATCATAGCAACATAATACAAATAATAAAGCAGCAATAGTAATCTAATAAAACCCCACTCAAATGTGCTGTTTGATCAATAAATCAGTACATATTTTAAAAACTACTGTATTTTTTCATGTATAAGACACCTCAATGTATAAGACACCCCCCCACACTTTTCTAGCCCATACACACTGCCATCATCCTAAAGCACCTTATTCTTTTAAACTCAGAAATTGTATTGAGAGATGTATCTCATCAGAGTGAAAGGGAAAGAAGAGAGAATCGAGCAAATTTGTTTTATATTTTTATTTATTAATTTTTTATCCAGCACATCTAGTTGCTGGGCCACTACTCTAGGCACCTAACATATCATAGCAACATAATACAAATAATAAAGCAGAAATAGTAATCTAATAAAACCCCACTCATGTGCTGTAATCTAATAAAACCTCACTCATGTGCTGTTTGATCAATAAATCAATACATATTTTTAAAACTACTATATTTTTTCATGTATAAGACACCTCCCTGTATAAGACACCCCCCACACTTTTCTATCCCAACATTTCTTTCTTTGCAAGAAAGAGGAAAATGGAGGGGGAAAGCACTTTCCTTGAAAGAAAATGAAGGAGGAAAGCAGGAATCGCTTTCCCCCTCCACTTTCTTTGCAAAAAGCTGCTTTTCCGCTCCACTTTCTTTGCAAAAAGCTGCTTTCCCCTTGCAAAAAGAGAAGGTGAAAAGCAGATTTTT